AACGTTCTATTTCTCCCTTCATCACTTCACAACCTGCTCTCTGTTCGTGCGCTTGGTGCTGCCGGCGTTGCCGTCTCGTTCCCCGCTGCTGGGCGCGTTGTTCTCACATCTGATGACGTTCCTATTGGCGAGGGCTACACCCGCAACAATCTGTTTTATCTTCAACTGCATCATGGGAGCAGTGCTGCTCCTTCTATCAAGCCAACTGCATGTCCAGCCTCCACCACCACCTCCTCGTACCTCTGGCATCGTCGTTTCGGGCATCTCAACATGCAGGCCTTGTCAACACTTCATCGGCAGCAGCTGGTCACCGGTCTTCACCTCTCCTCCACCTCGATTCCCCCCTGCATCTCGTGCTATCGTGGGAAACAAACACATCAGCCATTTGGCGTGTCCCATTCTCGCACCAAAGCCCCACTCCAACTCATTCACTCAGATATTGCTGGACCGCTTTCATATGGAACTACCATTGGCGGCGCTCGCTACCTTCTCACCTTCATCGACGACTACTCCCGCCACATTACAGTGTATCTCCTACGCCACCGGTCGGAGGCACTTTCATGCTTCAAGGCTTACGTCACTCGGGTGCACAACATGCATTCCCCACACACCATCAAAACCTTTCGCTCTGACGGTGCCTTGGAGTTCACTTCCAAAGCCTTCACTTCATTCCTTACAGCTCATGGCATCGCCCGCCACCTCTCCACGCCATACACACTTGAGCAAAATGGAGTAGCTGAGCGGGCCAACCGGACTTTACTTGAGATGGTCCGTTCCATGCTCCATGATGCACACATGGACAAAGGCTGGTGGGGTGAAGCCGCTCTTACTGCTGCCTATCTTCGTAATCATGCCATTAGTCGGGGTGGTTCAACTTCTAAGACTCCCATGGAACTATGGACCGGTGCACGTCCGGATGTATCACACCTCCGCATCTTCGGTTCACCCGTCTCGGTCCTCATTCCTTCCCAACGGCGTTCTAAGCTCAACGACCGAAGCACGGCCGGCATCATGGTTGGATATGGTCATCTCGACGGCACCAAAGCTTACCGCATCTATATCCCATCTCAGCACCGTGTCATCCTTTCTCGTGATGTCATCTTCATGGAGCCCTCTGCACCGCCTTCCGACGACTCTCGCGACCCTCCATCGTCATCTCCACCCACATCCTCCTCACTACCTCCTCCTACACACCCTTCTACCTCGGACCTCTCTCCTACTACCTTGGCTTTCACATCACTCGTGATCGAACTTCCCGCACTCTCCACCTTCATCAATCCAAATTCATCACCTCCATTCTAGACACCTACTCCTTCTCTCCACTGAACCCCGCTGCCACTCCCATGGACACAAAGTTTCAGCCACCCGTGACTTCCTCCCCGCACTCCTCCTCCTTCCCCTACACCTCGTTTGTCGGCTCCATCATGTATGCCATGGTGGGGACCCGTCCCGACCTCGCATATAGCGCTGGAGTTCTTGCTCGTCACCTTCACGATTGGTCTACTCCTCACGTCTCGGCTGCCAAACGCATTGCTCGCTACTTGAAAGGGACTACCTCCCTTGGGCTTCTCCTTGGTGGCATTCCCGACACCCTCGAACTTCATGGCTGGTGTGACGCCTCTTGGGGACCGGAGGGGGAGCTGCGTCGCTCCGTTACGTGCTACTTGTTCTTCCTCGGTCCGTCACTCATCTCTTGGCAGTCCAAACGCCAAGCCGTCGTTGCTACCTCTTCATGTGAAGCTGAATATTACTCTCTGGGCGCCGCGGTGCATGAGGCATTATGGCTTCGTTCGCTCCTTACGGCAGTTGGACTTCCCCCTACCGGCCCCACCCGTATCTCGTGTGACAACAACAGTGCCATCATTCTCGCCAAGGACGATGGCGTCTTTCATCCCAAGGCCAAGCACATCGACATCAAGCACCATTTCATTCGCGATCATGTTGCCGACCACTCCATCACCCTTCACTATGTTCCTACTCAAGACAACATCGCTGACATTGGGACCAAGCCTTTGCCCCGTGACCCTTTTCTTCGCATCCGTGGTCTTCTCGGTCTCACCCATGTTTCCTCTTGAGGCACCCTACCCCGGGGACATCCTTGAGGGGGGGTGTTGTGGAAGCAAGAATGTCCCAGTGGGTACCTTTTGTCTTAGTGGTCGCGGGTTCAACTCTCATCGGCAGCACCTTCTCTTCTCATTATGCCGAACATGACACTCCCACACTCCACCACACTCACCCACAGTGAAGTGTGGTCACATTTGGCATTGCCATCTGTCCACCCATCCCATACTCACCTTGTTGGCTCCTATGATGTGCCACATGCTGCCATGTAGGCTGTTGTTCCAGCCTGGCCCACATGTGCAACATGTGGCCTCAATTGCTAGCTTGGCAAGGTTGGCTAGCCCTGCCCTCAGCTTTGAGGTGCTGCAGCTAGCCTCAAGAGTTCAGCCACATAAATGTGGCTTCCCACTTCTCTATAACTCATCCTTGGAAAGGACATTGCTCTAGACTTTCAGGCTTGTACCATCTTCCTACTAAGGATATATTGTTCTTCTCTCATTGTGCCTCAAGTTCACCGATCCTCATTCTACAGGATGAACGGTTCAAGTAGCAAGGGAGGGCAAGTGAAGAACAAAGAAACACACAAAGGCATCCAGCGAATCCATGGTCCGCAAGGGCTCAATCAGCGAACGCAAGTACATGCAGCTGCACCTGTTGCCATACCACTTGACATGCCAACTCGTGCTCTGACTTGTGCGTGGTAGAAGTACTGAAGCTGTGCCTGTCCTGCTCTAGGCATGAGCAGGGGGCGAACTCGAACATGTTCGTGTTCGCCCCCTGACGAACATGGCCTTCTGCCGAACTGAACACTGTTAGTTTAGGCTGTCAAATGTTATACGTGCTACAGTTTGTTTAGGCTGTAGTGGGGTAGTTACTATGGGGTACAGTAAGTTTAGAGTTTCCTACTTGTACCCAACCTTTTCGTAGTTCAATCACTTCTCTCATTCTGACATGGTATTACGAGCCTAGGTTAGGAACCTAGGACCGTTTTTCCTAAGGGCCTACCGTTTCGCTAGAAGCGCATTCGTGCGCCGTCCCTCACTAGCGCCCTCGTGCGCCTCGTTCCTAGTGCGCCCTCGCGCGCCCTACTTCTCCCGCTAGCTGCCCGCGCGCGGCTTGTTTTTCGAGCGCGTAGCCCGCTAACTGCCCGCGCGCAGCCCTTTTTTTCGTGCGCGCGACCCCCCTAGCCGCCCACGCACTCGACGCCGCCTGCGCGCAGCCCGCCCTGGCCTCGCGCGGCCCCTAGCGCAGCCTACGAGCTGCCCGTCGACCGTCGCGCGCCGCCGCCTCGCGCCCGTAGGCCGCCGCCCGTTCGTAGGCCGCCGCCCCCTCATAGGCCGCCGCCACTGCGAACGCTGCAGCCCCCACGTAGGCCGCCACCCCGCACAACCGCAGACCGCGCGCCGGCCCACCCTCCCTGCTCGAGCCGTGCCGCGCCGTCCTGCCCGAGTTGCGCCGCCGTGACTGAGCCGCGCTGCCCTGACCGAGCCGCGCCGCCCTATTGCACACCACCTGCAGCACCTGCTGCTCCTGTTACTGCTACTGCTACTACTGCTACTGCTGCTATTGTTCCTACTGCTGCTACTGCCACTATGGCCAGTCCTACCGTTCTCACTTTTGACGCTGAGGGCCGTCCGATTAAGTTTGACGTTTCGCTCGATGACCTGCTCCTATTCCTCCAAATCACTGCCAAGGACGATGTTTCCCTGTTTGACCACACGTCCGGCGCCGCTCCCGCACTTGCTGCTACTCGCTCACAGTGGCAGACCCGTGACGCTCATGGTCGCCTAGCCGTTCGCAGTCACCTGCCGTTAGATGAGCGCGAGCATTTTGGCCAGCATAAGACCGCTAAGGAGCTGTACGATGTTGTAGTTGCACGCTACTCCTCCCCTGCTACTGCTGCGATAGGCCGTCTCTCGCTGCCCTATCTCTTCCCCGATCTGTCTGCCTTTGCCACTGTAGCTGACCTCATCACTCACTTCCGTACTAGTGATCTCCGCTACCGTGCCACGCTTCCCCCCGATTTCCTAGCCAAGAACCCTCCCCCGATGTACCTCACACTCTACCACCTAATCACCCGCCTCCCTAACTCCTTTCGCACCATCAGGGACCACTTTCTCGCCCTCTCCCCCACCGAACTCACTGTCGACCTGCTCGAGAATGAACTCCTAGCAGCTGAGAAGAGCATTGTAGCTGTAGGTGCCTCTCGCGGCGACCCTCGCGCTCCCTTCTTTGAGGGGTGCCCCCCCGTCCCCCTCCTCCCCTCCATTGCATCTGCTGCTGCTGTCGACTACCTCGGTGCTGAGGGGGTCGGGGCTGCGTTTGCTCCTAGTGGGAGGCGCAAGTAGGGATGAGCAAGATCCCGAACGCCTGTTCGGTTCGCCTCGAACATATTCGAGGCGAACCGAACAGGCTTTTTTTTTTGGCTAAATTGTTCGGGCCGAACATGTTCGGTGTTCGGCCGAACATGTTCGACGTTCGGCTTTGGATTTTGCCTCTCCAAGCCGAACACGAACATGTTCGTGTTCGGCTGGGATTCGACGCAAACACCAAAAGTGTTCGCGTCAAAATTGGCCGCGACCAGATTCTGGTCGCGGCCAATTTTTGTTTGAGCTCATTTTGTGAGCTCAAACTCAGAAGTTGTTTAGGCTTTAGCGCTCCCTCACACAGCCGCCCTAGCCTCCTTGTTCTAGGTGCAAGCAAGTGCACGTTAATACTTGGAGTGTAAACGAACATTAGATAGAACATCTATGCATAGGGTTTAACGTAGAGTAGGGAGTTTAGGGTTACTAGTAAGGTTCAGCGAGCATCTCCGCAAAGGGCTCAAGTAGGGCGTATCCTTCGCCGTAGGATTCGGATCGGGCATTAGGAACGTGCGGCACCATCCAACGCTAACGTTGCCTTAGGGGGTTTTAGGGTTTAGGGTCGAGGGCGGAGTGATGGCTTCCAGGGGTGGTGGATCCATAGGCCGAGGTGCAGGCAGGGCTCAGGGCAGCGCACCGGGATCTCCACCACGACCTATGCAGGGGCGAGTAGGGGATGGACCGGGAGGAGCCGGCGCGATCTTCGTTGGGGGGTTGCTTACCGTACCAGCGCCGAGCTCTTGTCGCTCTTTCCGTTATGACGGCCCTCGGCCCCCTCCTTCGGGGCAGACGCCGACGCAGCCGGAGAGCGGCAGTGAGGAGGAGGATGAGGAGGAGGATGGTGAGGGCGAGAAGGAGGAGGACACTGAGGGGAGCGAGGATGACAGCGAGGCGGCGTGGGACCCAGAGACGCATGGCGGTGGGGAGGGGGGAGATGATGATGATGAAGACCACGAGATGGATGGGTTGGAGCCAGAGGGGCCAGAGGAGGAGGTGGGAGAGGGTGGTGGAAGGGCGGCAACAGAGGCGGGATCACAGCATGTGCGTGAAGGGGGAGGGAGCGTGGGGGTTAAGGTGGGGGGGGGAAAGGCCGTGACCATTAGGGAGCCGAGGCAGAGGAAGAAAGCGAACAAGTTGAGAGAGCGGGCGTATCCCTGCACGTTCACTGGGGAGCCCTTGGGCGAGGGTGTGATCGCTCCCGAGTTTTTAGACGAGGACGGAGGGTCCGAGAGTAGTAAGGGGACTGGCAAGGGTAATAGGAAGCCGGGGTGGCAAGTTATGATGTTCGGTCCGTTAGGGGCAGACGATAAGCGTCAGTGCAAGATTTGCACAGACAGGATTTCGTGGAAGCAATCCACAACAACCCTGGGCGAGCGGCACTTTGCGAGCTTCCACACTGCGCACATGCATGTGTGGCATCACCGTTACCACACCCTGTCCGTTCACTTGCCAGGGGAGACGTTTCCCCGAGGGGGCTACAAGGGAGTGCCGGATGGCTACGTATATCAGTGGCCACATGCCAAGACTTGGCCGTAGCTCGCCAAGGGGAAAGCGATGGCGACTGGTGGAGGTGATGGGTCAGGAGGGATCGAGCGGTGGATGACAACCAAGCTGACCTCGGTGCAGCTACGGCAGGCGATCACGAAGCTGGTGGTCACCTGCGACCTCCCCTTCCGCATCGTCGAGGCCGAGGCTGTAAGTGCCCCATCCCATCCCATGCATGATTGGGCAAGTATGTGGTTAGTGGAGGTGTCTGTCCCTTTCTGCTTACATCAGTTTGTGTGTGGCCCAGTGCAGTGCTATATTATTTTCATCCCATCCCCCTAACGTGTACTCCCCTCTCCCCCCTTGTCTCTTCCCCTCTCCAGTTTCGTGAGCTACTCATCCTGTTAAACCGCAACTGCGCGCAGAAAAACTTCATCCCCTCGCGCTGGACGGTTTCCCGCGACACAGTGGTCTATGCGGCTGCCGCTCTTCAGTCAGCCATCGCTGAGATGCTGGCGAAGGAGGGGGAGCTGGGGTGCAGGGTGTCGTTCACCATCGACATGTGGACGTCGCCCAACAACAGGGCGTGGCTAGTGGTAACGGGTCACTGGATCGACGAGAATTACCAGCTGCGCACAATGGTGTTTGAATTCCGCGAGATTCACGGGCGTCACACGGGCAAGCAGATGGCGAGGGTGGTTGAGGAGACGGTGGTGCAGTGGGAGTTGGAGACACGTTGTCTTGGGTTCACCTCAGACAACGCCTCCAGCAACACTGCCGCTTTCAGGTAGATGTCGGAGGAGGGTGGTGGCCAGTGCTTCTTCAACTCGCGCATGCACTTCCGGTACGAAAGGGAGTGTGCGTTGGATGTGCGATGAGGGAGTCTGGGTGCGCCGTTCCTGTGATGTGAACATGTTGTGGTTGTAGTACAGGCGGGTGGGCCTATGCGGCTTGAGAGTGGTAGTGTGTCTCGGATCTATGCCAATGTGTACTCACACTTCCCTTTCTCTCCGCCATTAATGTTTTGTGATGTGCGCAGATGCCTGGCACACGTGATCAACCTTGCAGTGAAGGCAGCACTCGCTGTGACCGCCATCCGCAAGTTGCTGAAGATTCTGAGAGAGATGGCGTCGTAGATAGGCTACTCGCCGCAGCGCTCAGGGAAGTTCTTGGGCCTACAGCGGACTCTGAACGCGCAGGGCAACCCCGCCAAACCGAAGCCAGCATTTAAGCTGGTGCAGGACAGTCCCACACGCTGGGGGTTGACCCACGACATGGTCGAGCGAGCCGGGGTTCTGCAGGAACCCATCTCTGTCTTCTTTGCCCAGACATAGGTGTGTGTGTGTGCCAGGTGTTGTGTATGCTGTTTAATGTGTTGGTATGTCGGTCAGGGTGTTTTCTTCTGGGACTTGCACCACTGTTGGCCATGCTTGACTAAACTTTTCGGACCTCCAACAACCTCAACCACCCCACTTTCCATCCTATCACCCGCCCACCCATACGTTCTACCCGACAAGGCGTGTCGAAGGCTGACAAGGCGAAGATGGACACCCTGCGCCTGACGGACGCAGACTGGGAGACTCTGCATTCTGTCAAGATCTTCCTCAGCCCATTCGCCAAAGTCTCCACGGCCGAAGAGGGAGAGGCGTACCCTACAGTGTCGATGGTCTTGCCGTACTACAACGGCCTGATCGACGCTATGGAGTCGCGCCTTGCCAAGGGGCCATCGGCTATGCTCAAGCCGATGATTGAGGCGGCGCTGGGTCTCTTGAAGAAGTATGAATTGATGTCAAGCAACGAGTTGTGGATCGCCACCTTCCTGGACCCTTCCATGAAGGCGGCGTGGTTCGACGACGCGCACTGGGAGACGCTGCATCCCGATACAGAGCGGAGGGCGAGGCCTCGTCCCTCGTCAGGCGAGGTGATCCTGCTGGTTCGCGAACGCGTGGCCGAGTACCAGGCCCGGGCTGCAGCGATTGCCCCTCAGCCGACCCCACATGCCCCAGTGACAGAGGAGGAGGAGGGAGATGCGGCGGATGACGACGAAGACGCCGAGTTTCTCCCTAGTCGCCGACGCCTTGCGGCGCGTCTGTCGGCGAGCCAGGAGGCGGGGAGGGGTGGGATGGTGCAGGATGACGAGGTTGGCAGGTACTTATTTGAGAGGGTGCGGTGCGACGTGTCAGCGTTGGAGTATTGGCGCAGCGCCACCAACATGCAGACGCTGAGGCGCATGGCCCGGGATTATCTTTCCATCCCTGCCACGTCCGTGTCGAGCGAGCGCGTGTTCTCCCTCGGCCGCAACCTCCTATCCTGGAAGCGGCACCGCCTAGCCTCTCAGAGGACGCGAGCTTCCATGATTCTCAGATCATGGTACACCTCACACCCTGGACAGAGGATAGGCGAGGGCCGCCGTGCAAAAGGCGAGGCACCACCAGAGTTCGCCATTGAAGGCGAGAGGGAGGAGGAGGACGACGAGTGGGAGGAGGAGGAGGGGGAGGAGGAGCAGGTGGGGGTGGGTGCTGGCGACACCTCTGACGCGGAGCATGCTGTTGTTGGTAGTAGAAGTGGTGTGCAGGCGTAGGATGTAATTTGGCAGTGACTTTTATATAGGCACTTCATGATGGTGTAGTATGCTAGTGTGCGTTGCATGATTATATATACACCCTCCACCCCCCTATCTATCTTCCCAACCCTCAAGATTCCGTGTTTCTCTATTGTGACTATAATGAAAGTGGCCAAGGGCGAACTCGAACATGTTCGGTTCGAACATGTTCGAGTTCGCCCACACATACCAAATGTTCGCCCCCAAGGGCGAACGGCAAACAGCTCTTGAACCCTAAGTTGTTCGCCGAACAGAACTGTGCTCGGTTCGGGAAAAGTTGATGTTCGAGCAAAATCGAACCCAAACGTGTTCGAGTTCACCATTTGCTCATCCCTAGGCGCAAGGGCGGCAAGGGCAAGGGGGGCAGGGGGGGCGGAGGTGGCGGAGGGGGCGGCAGTGGTGGAGGGGGTGGAGGGGGCGGGGGTGGTGGCGGTGGTGGGAGTGGTGCTGGTGGTGGGGGGGTCAGTGGCGGAGCAGGGGGTGGTGGCGGCGGCGGTGGTGGGGGTGGTGGGGGTGGTGGTGGCAGTGGTGGCGGCAGTGGAGCTGGTGGCGGGCGCGGTGGAGCGGTGCAGCGTGGGGGGTTGGGCGGTGGCCAGAGGCAGCAGCAGCAGCGTCCTAGCGAGACTCTATCACCGTAGCAGCTCCGTGAATGGTACTCTCAGCGTGGGGGGTCTGGGGGTGGAGGTACAGCTAGCATAGGAAAGGAAACGGTGGGCGGATTGGATGAGTGCCCACACCATCATTGGTGGGTCAATTAGGTTGACCACGCAATGATTGGCCAACATCATTGGGGGATGGGGGGGGGGAATAATTGATTGGATGGCCCAGTCATTATTTGGGATCCCCCCATCAAACATGGTCCAAAAATGTTGGGAAGCAGTCAACCAAAATCGGTTGGGGCTACTTGAGCGAAAGTGTACCACATTTGGTGTATCACTTACAGTAGTATTAACTAGCACATGCAACATTCTAACAGATAGACATTGAAAGACGAAAGGGAGGGGGACTGCTGTGGTGCAGCGCGGACTATGTACAGGGCGTTGTGTGCATGCATGCATTCTTGTGCGCTAGCACTCAGCACTGCACCATGCAAGAATATTTTGGGTTCTGCTTTTACCAAGGCTATCCCATGCATGTGTATCTTGTTGTCCGTAGCACTCAGTGGGGCACATAACGCATCGCCAGTGGTCCATTCCATTCCCTGTAACCATGTGCAGGAGCCTTTCGGTCAACGGGTTCACTGTGGACAGCAGTCTGCCCTCAGCACCATCTCCACCCTCGATATCCTGTCAGCCACCCCATTGCCTCGCCCACCCTGCTGTTGCATCTGCACATGTTATTTGTTCACTCATAGCACCATGCAGCTCTCCTTTTGCCATGCCATGCTCTGACTGTCCTCCTCGCCTTGCTGCATGCAAGGCAGTGAAGCTCCGCTCCTGTCAAGATAACGATGTTGCAATGCCCCCTTGAGTCTGATAAAGTGACGCTGCAGCCCTCAACAATATTACTTAAGCGCCTAGGCCATGTGGATGTTTCTTGAGCTTTTGAAAGAAGTCAGATTGATTAAAATGGATCGATGCAACTGCATCTGTTCCCCTGTTCTGCCTCAGAGTCGACTACAAGCTCTGTGCTTTTTAGCTGACTGAAAAGAATTTGTCTCTATCCTGTGCTCTGCCGTGCAGCGACCTGCACAATAACAACTTCCCTGGCGCCATTCTTGATTAGATCTCCACCCTACCCACACTGATGAGCATGTATGTAGACATCATGAGCATGTATGCAGTCATCATGAGCATGAATGCAGTCATCATGAGCATGTATGCAGTCATCATGAGCATGTATGCGGTCATCATGAGCATGTATGCAGTCATCATGAGCATGTATGCAGTCACCATGAGTACGGTATGTACGCCGTTTATTCTGTCACTGCATGGGGCCAAGAATCTGCTCGTGGAACTCTGACTCACAAGTTGTGAGAGCGCGTGCGGTGTTCTTTTCAATCTCTGGGCTAATCACCGCTCCACCGAAAATTCCTCTTTCCCTAACGTACTCCAGCCTTAGTAATGTCTTGAATAGACGCTTGACACCAATCATTATAGCTTTAGGGTTCAACATACAATCATAGACAATTTTTTATGCTTGCGAGCGATTCATTGTGTGCACAGGGTACAGCCGAAACATAGTGTATGGATCTAGAACGAGATTTTAGTCTACAGACCTCCACTCCCCCGGTTTGGCCCCTGCTTCATAAGGACACTGCCCTAAGGACAGAGGCAGTGGTTTATGATAATGGATTTTGCCGAAACCCACTATCTGGTACCTCTCTCATTTGTCCGCTCTGATGTTTGTAGCGCTCGTGCTACTTGTCAGGCCTATCACATCATATGAGACACCTGTAGCATGCTGAAATCATGCTCTCCTTTCTTATCCCCAACCTAGTGTTTAATCAAGCCATGTATTTACAGGGAGCTGGCACGGTCAAACATTGGTGGAACCTAGCCCCTCTATTGGAACCCTGAGTCACCTTGACATCTCGCCAACCATAACCCATCCCTGTAGCTTCTCTCTTGGTGTTTGCCTTGCTTGCCTGGTGTGTTGCTGGTGCAACCTCCTGTGCACGTATGATTCCGAGTCTCCTTGGCTTTGCATCAGTCAATGTCAGTAGCTTTGAGGACAAGAGTCAACAGAAAGGTACTGAGACATTGCGTGTTAAAGACATATATGCAGACTGCAATAGAATGCTCTCTCTCTTGTTCACTCAAGGACTCCCTTATCGTTCCATCATCATAGTCTGTGATGTATCACGTGTGCATACGATGTCTTCCACGCTGTGGGTTCAGGTAGCTGGAGGGTGTGGGGCTCAGGGGCACGGTCCCCAGATCATTCTCCTTCAGAACTTGGGCTTTTTGCGTGTGCACCCTGGCTGCTTGCTGTTGTATCCAGTGTCCCTTGGCGTCTGGTCCAATCACACTTATCCAAGTTACCAACCTTGACATGTAGTTGAAATCATGCTTGTATGCAACGCAACTGCATGCAACAACAACACTCCATGCTACCTCCGCTGAGGGCCTTAGGAAGCGCACTCAAGTTGAGTGACTCAACCCTGCTAGATGGGAGTCCAAGTGCTGCCATGCCATGCACACCGCGTTCATGAGTTGTCTTCGGATGTGCTTTCTTCCAGCTACCTGAACAGGAACGTCCTCTCTGGCGATGTGTACGGCATCACACGCAATATGACCAGCCTTGTCACGCTGCACGTGCATGAGGGGAATCGCATATGGCATGCACCATGTGCTATTTGCCATGTCCCAGGTCCCATGTGCCAATGGGCCATGTGCCATTTGTTACTTGCCTTGGTGTGTTGAGGGGGTCCTGAAAGAGCCCATTCTAAGAGAGCATTGGATTGGGAAGGAGGACTACAAATAGGACTGAAAATGCTTGTTACACCAAGCCCCTTCCTTTGGTCCGATGGTTTACACCAAGCCCCTTCCTTTGGTCCGATGGTTTACACCAAGCCCCTTCCTATGGTCCGATGGTTTACACCAAGCCCCTTCCTTTGGTTCGATGGTTTACACCAAGCCCCTTCCTTTGGTCCGATGGTTTACACCAAGCCCCTTCCTTTGGTCCGATGGTTTACACCAAGCCCCTTCCTTTGGTCCTATGGTTTACACCAAGCCCCTTCCTTTGGTCCGATGGTTTACACCAAGCCCCTTCCTTTGGTCCGATGGTTTACACCAAGCCCCTTCCTTTGGTCCGATGGTTTACACCAAGCCCCTTCCTTTGGTCCGATGGTTTACACCAAGCCCCTTCCTTTGGTCCGGTGGTTTACACCAAGCCCCTTCCTTTAGTCCGATGGTTTACACCAAACCCCCTTCCTTTGGTCCGATGGTTTACACCAAGCCCCTTCCTTTGGTCCGATGGTTTATCTGTATGTTCAAGGCTGATCTGCTTGCGCGCTGGTAATTGCTGACCAGCATCAAACACATTCTTCCAACAGAACACTGCATCTTTCGTCTGCACCACCCTGTGCGTGCTCACTTCTCACCCACTCTTGTCACACCCCTGCTCATGCGCCATTCCTTGCCTTGGCTCTCCCTGCCCTCGCCCCCCCTTCTTTACAGTGACATGTCAGCCAACCAGTGACAGGGTGACTGCCATTGCCCCTGTCGCCCTACCTGCAGCCAACCAGTTCCCGCCCTACCTACCCTACACCCACCGCAACTTCTTCTTCCACGGGACCATCTCCCGCCCGAGGCCAACCACACCTACCTTGGCAACGCCTTTGAGCATTGTCTGCTCAACGCATCCCGGGCGCCTGGAGACTACTTGGAGCAGAGGAGTGCAGAGGAGTGTGGTGCGTTCTGTGGGGTTTCTGCTGGGGATTGCCAACCCCTGTGCAGCGGGCATGGCATGTGCTCCTTCAGTGAGTTTGTGCAGGAATCAGTATACACCTACGATAGCAACTTCGACAACCAGGCCGGACTGCCCTCGTGCTCTTACAGTGGTGTGTATACACAAGTTTTGGGAGAGACTGAGTGATCTGGTGTGAGAAGCAGATTGCACTCTCTTGTTGTGCCCTTTGATTGCGTTGCATACCCTGCTTATTCCTCGTAACTGTTACCATTACAGCTGCATCGCAGTTGAAACCTCTCGAACTCCTGGTGTTGATTTATTTACATCCAAGCATAGTTCTTCCGTTCTGTTTGCACCCATCTGCCTTGCCTCGCTCTGGATAACCCTGCAATTCTCCCTTCAACCAAATCATCACAGACAACAGCAGTCTCCCTGGCAGGTGCAGCAGCGCAACCATTCAATGGCACCATCATCCTCACGCCCCCCACCAGCAACACGTCAGGAGCAGCACAGTGCAGCGCCCATCTGCCTCTTCCTTTTCATCGACAACCCTGGCCCGTGTAGCACGCCCTTTGTGTTCAATGCCTTCTTTAGCTTCGCCAGTCAAGTACATGGGGGGAGAAGGTTTTGTGTCAGTCGTAGGTCACTTTCAGGTCACACTCAGATCGCTCCAGAAACTCTCATAATAAGAGTCTCATATCACTTTCATGCCACTCTCAGGTCACTTTCAGGTCACTCTCAGGTCAAACTCAGGTCAATTTCAGGTCAATTTCAGGTCAGTCTCGTATCAGTTTCAGGTTGGTCTTAGGTCAAATAAGGTCAAATTCAGGTCAGTCTAAGGTCAAACACGGGTCAGTCTTTTGGTCAGTTTCTGGTCAGTCTCATGTCAGCCTCATGTCAGTCTGAGGCCAGTCGTGGGTGCAGGTATGATGCAGGGCCATGCCTTCCACAAACACGAGATACCCACAATCTCCCACACTACCCTTTGTCCTCCCCCACCCTACCGTCAGCAACCAACTGACCTACGTACCATTGGCGCTTTATCCCCAACAAGCCATATTTAGCAGCCACAAGGCCAAGATTGGCACCCAGAACAATGAGCAGGGGACTCTCGATGCTGAACTGGCTCTCACGAGAGGTTAGGTACATTATTAGAAAGTGTGCCCTACTTCTTAGCATTCAGATTCCTCACCTCCCTGCCTTTTTTCCTGCCATGAAAAACGTACCGTATTCTCCCGGATAAAACACCCTAGGGTATTATGAAAACCACTGGAAAAAAATCGGG